CAGTCCACGACTACTACTAACACACAGTGTGTTTGCGCACCAAATCACTCAATAGTGTACAACTCCTACAGATATATAAAGACTTTACTATTCGTTGCAATGAAATTCTTTACCGATTTTACAATTTCATTGAGAAATAAAACAATAATATTTTGGATAAGTTAATGTCATACTATTAATATTTTATTGACATATTCTTTACAATTAATGTTTCGTGATAAAATATCTTAATTTATTATTAAAAATTTGAAAATAGATTATTATTAATAATAAATAGTTTTATGCAAATATAGTAGATATAAATAAATTATAATAATAATTTTCTATAAATATAGTAAGTCTGAAGTTTTGAATTAAAATAAATTTAATGTAAATTACAATATTCCACATTATTTTAAGTAATATTTTTAATAGAATTATAAATAATGTGCAATCAATGGTTTCCACACCAAAAAACCAACAATTGGTTTCTTGGGTTAAAAAACAAAATCAAAATGATTTATTTGCCAAAGACTTTATTATTCAAATAACTAAACCATAATTTAGCTTAATGTCTGTTTAAATAACATTTTTATAAAAATAATCTGCTACTTGAACTATCTTAAAACTTTTTAGTAATAATTTACAAATTTAATACATTTTTATAAATGTTCTTATTGGATGTAAACTAATATATAAATTGCTTTAAAAAATCTGTGATTTATAACACGTTTCAAAAGTATTTGGACATTAAAAATGGGATTTTGAAGATTTAGTTAATATGAAAAATGAGTTTTATTGATTTTTGGGTGCTTTACAGTTACAGATAACTAAATAAATAATAATTTCCTCATTTCAAGGATGTAATGACCGAAAAGATAGCCTTTGCCATAAAAAATAGCCACTGATTTAAATGCACAGTACAGTAGTTGTGACCGATTTATAATCTAATGTATTTTGTAATTTTATATAATTTTATACATTATTAGACAATTGATTATAAATGTTATAAGTTTTACAAAGTTTACGAATGTAATTTTACACGGTTTAACAGTTATAGTATGTTTCAATGTTGTAGAATTTAAGTACATTTTAATACTAGCTCTCAAATAAATGTCCACGATTTTTAAGGATATGGCTCTTAATGTGGTATAACTTACTTTATATCGTTATATTAATAACATTTTTGCTTTATTTGTAAACTTTTTAAATCAATAGACAGGAAATTATTACGAAAAAAGTAACTTTGATTTAATGAGCTGAATGTGAGAGAGATTCACAATTAATGTGATAATCAAATAAATTGCTTATAGATATAAAGTTATAAATTATGAATCAATGGTTTGAATCATACATTTGGCCAATGATTGCAATACAACTCGCAATGAGATCTCACGCGAAAAGAAAAGTCAATGAAAAACAATACTCGAAATGAAATGCAATTCTTCTATAAACTGTTGAAACGATTGAAGCGTTTCTTTGCATTTCATATTAGCGTCAGATGTGATGAACAAATGAATCCATCAATGAATCCATCAGCGGATCAAATGATTGAAATGCAATCCTCGGTGAGTGTTGTGAACAAAAGTGTCTCACTGTCTGTCGACTGCAAACAGATCTGTCGGATATGCTTTTGTGGCAAATCGAGGGGCCGTTTGCTGTCCATCTGTAGCTGCAAAGGAAGCGTTGGACGCGTTCACAGACACTGTCAACAGAAGTGGCTTCAGATCAAGAGGACAGACAAATGCGAGTTATGTAACACTAAACTCAACGTCAAGAAAGTGCGCAAAGACTTCAAAGACTGGATTCTCAAGAAGAATAACAAGAATCGCCTCTATTTGGTGTTGGATGTGATGTGCGCTCTCATTGTGACGCCAATCACATCCATTACAATGCGATACTATATGTTTGATAGTCTGTATTACACAAAGTCTCTCTTCATAGCGATCTCGATTGTCGTCTCAATGGGTTTACTAATCCTCATGTCTTCGCTTTGGGCCATTGTATGCGTCGATCATCACATCAGCGCTTATTTCAGTTGGAGATCAACTCATTTCAAGTACATTCTCGTCGACACCAAAGCCCGAAAACTCGATCCCAGTGTTGAGGCAGTGGTCGACGACTCGACCACTGCCGGTCTGTTCCGCCGTCTCTTCGCTCCTATTCTTGCATTGTTTCGGTTCACTTCATCTTCAAATGCAATCCCTGTTTAGAGTCCGAGTCTAACAAAAACTACATTTTCTCCATTTTATTCATATTTTAAGATTAATTTACTGTTAACTGATTTTTGCATCACTTGTTATCAATAGAGACGTTATTTTTAATCTGTAAAACAAAATACAATTCAAACGATTGTTAAAATTGGTTCACTTATAAAACATATTCAGAGAAAACCTTTTTTAAATACTTTATTACTTGTATAAAACTGGTCACAGACTTGAATAAATTTTTAGTACAATTAAGTAAATGTAATGCAATTTTAAAAAACATACAATTATATCATATATGAAACAATTATCATAATAGCATTGAATCAAACGATTTGTTATTTTAAAAAACATAATTAAAAACTGCTGTTCAAAGAATTCAATTAACAAATTGTTATATAAATAATTAGATTACATTCCCATTGCGTTGGCGGCAGCCGTCTGTTGCATCTCTGATTTGGGACCCTTTATGGTCTCGTCGACAGACAATATGAGACACGCGGCCTCCGTTGCGGCGATTATTGCGTTGGTCTTCACGACCGCCGGTTCCCAAACGCAGGCATCAAAGTTATTAGCGATGTCTTCGTTGATGATATCGACGCCAAACCAGAGGCCGTCATTCAGCGAATGCTTTTGTCTCAATTTGTTCAATATATTGGTCGCATCGAAGCCCGCGTTCTCACACAACTGGCGCGGAATTATCTCAAACGCTTTGGCCATTGCGCTGATCAGCAGCTGCTCTTTGCCGGCGATTGTACGCGAATACTCTCGCAAATACTTCGAGAGCTCCATCTCAATGGCTCCGCCACCGGCCACTATCGAGTCATTCTTGAGCGCCCGTCGGACTATCATAATGGCGTCGTGTAGTGACCGTTCAGTTTCTTCCATAAACTGTTCCGCTCCTCCTCTCAACACTATCGTCACTGTCTTGGAATTGGGACATCCCTTGAAGACATTGAACCTATCGATACAATCATATCATTAGATTTGTTTGATTTAAAAACTAAGGCATAAATATATAGATTAATATTAAGCCAACTCTCAAACCAAATGATTACTTTACCACAAAAGTAACGCCGATATCTTATTATAGAAACCGATATCAACTGACTATCTGTGGGTAAAGACAGACAAAAATGCCAAAAAAGTGGTGACAAACCTCTCGCCTCCGATCTGCAACTCTTCAAACTCGTCACACGTTCCCAACACGTTGTCGTCACTCAAGTCGTAACAAGTGGTCAAAATAGATCCGCCGCACGATCTCATCGTACGCTTGAGATCGTCTTCGGGCACACGTCCGGCGCAGAACAGGTCTCTGTCGGCGAAGTATTGAGTGGCGACGTCACCGATGGGCAGCTTCGACAGCACCACTTTGGCTCCGCTCTCGTAGATCTTCTTCAACTTATCGTAGAGTATATCCCACTCCGCGTCCACTATCTTCTGGTATTCCTCCACATTGTCTACTCTGATCTCTGCGTTATCCTTCTCGGCCTTCAGCTCCAACTCCACGTTCAACAAAGCAATCTTCGGCTTCTTGTAGGCCTTGGGCTGCATCTCAAAGCCCGCGTACGAAAAGGTCTTCTTAAAGGCCACTCCAGACACCAACAGTGACTCTTCGAGACCTCCGCCGCCGATCTTCTTAATACCAATCATATTAAGAGGGAGAGTGTGTTCGTCCAATTGGAGGACAGCGTCCACAACCATCTTCGCGAAGAACTCCTTCTGATGCGACACCAGTTTAGAGGAGAGCGAAGTGAGAGCGCACTTCTCCAGAAGCGATCGCTTCGACTTCAGAGTATCGGTCGATAACTTGACGGAAATTTCATTGATTTTATTAATACATAATTGCCGTCCCTTTCGGAAACTCTTGATTATGGTCTGCGGATGGACTCCTTCCTCGACAAACGATTTGCTTTGTTTGAGGAGTTCTGCGGCCAACAGAACCACACTTGTAGTCCCGTCGCCCACCTGTCCGTCAAGACATACAATAAACATAAACGTTAGATAAAGGGGTTAATCAATGGGGGGAAGCGCTGGACAGACCTCGTCGTCCTGAGACCTGGCGATGTCGACGAGTGTCTTAGCGGACGGATGAATGATATCCAACTTCTTGAGAATAGTCGCGCCGTCGTTACTGATGGTCACCGAACCCTTCGAGTCGACGATCAACTTATCCATACCTCTGGGCCCTAACGTAGTCCTCACCGCTTCCGACACCGACTGACACGCGCTTATGTTAGACATCACTTGACTCTTTCCCTGATGACTCTCTGACCCCTCTTTCAGCAGAATTATCGGCGCATTCTTCGCGAGACAAAACACACCACACGTTAGTATCAAAGACGTCAATGGTATGGACAGAGAGAGACAGAGACCGCACAACACGTGTTGTGGTTAACACGTTATGTGCCGGTCGTGAACGTGTTAACACTTACCATCATTTTGGTGCCCATCGTTAGTCTAGGTTGGGATCAATTCACTTTTGGTCTTTAAAACACGTGTTAATGACGCTATGATATGGATAGGACTGAGTGTTGGATCAGTTGCGCGACTAATGAC